TTTTTCTCTCTGTGTGAGTCAGTCTGTCTGTCTGTCTGTCTCTGTGTGTGTGTGTGTGTGTGTGTCAGGGGTGGGTTTCAAAAAATTTTGGAACCTCTTCTGTAGGTGTGGCCCGCTTTCCGGGTCCACCGGTGGAACCTCTTCTAACCGGTTCGGTAGATTTGACGAATCGGTTCTACCAAACTGGTGCGAACTGGTAGGACCTACCTCTGGTCCCAGTGTTTTCTTTTCTGTGGGAAACAATCCAAATGGCTTTTGGGGTGTTTTAAGTTACCAATCCCAGCTTTAATCACTGAGCCATTACGCCCCCTAGTACTTATTAGGCAATAGAAATCAGTGGACTCTATGGATTAGGATATGATTAGTAAAAACAAATAGCTGGTGCCCAAATAATTGAGGTATATAGTTTCTTCTTTGGGAAAAGCTCTCCTTACTCAGAGTTTTGGCTAAAGATGCACTGCCTGAGCTTAATTTTCTTTATTGATAATGATGAATACATTTTTGATGAATATTTGCTGCTCATCTGATGAGAGTTGCCATAAGGATTTATGCCAGACAGTGTTATCTTGGCAGGTTTCATTCATCAGGAGCTCCATGAACATATTGGAGAGCTAAATTATAGAAAATACAACGTGCGCCTATTTTGCTCTGAGTCTTTATTTTTAATTTGCAAAAGCGTGTCTTTAGACAGAATGTGGCTTTAACTGGAACGAATGAATGCCTGCTCCTCTCATTTTCATAGTTTTGCTTATTACCTTTTTTTTTCCAGAAAAGAGGACATTTCTCCAGAAAAATCAGGTGGCAAAAAACCTGAGGAACCGCCTTCTGTTGTTACAGGTAACACTAAGCATGCATTCTATGTGAGTCTACCAGTTTATGATACATAGTTCAAGCTTGTTATTGTTTGAGCATGTAATTCAGAGTATGGAAATCAGTGGTGGGTTGCAGGTGGTACGCCCAGGTACAGGTGTACCAGTGCGTGCTGGGAGCACCGGGTACCATTCTGGTACTGTGCTCTGGAGGACCCGCCTGAGCTCCTTACCTGTATTTGAGCTCTTCCGCACTTCCATGCACGCACACGGACCATATGGCGCCTGTGTGATTCTCCGCAGAGTAACTGGAGCATCGCAGAGGCATCGTGGAGGTAAGGACGCATGCGCGTGCTGTGCATGTGCATGTGGGGGGACGCCGGGCCCCCGTTGCACCGTACCGGTTGCAATGGGATCCAGAACCCACCACTGGTGGAAATAGAGTAAATAGTTCAAGTGAAATATAATGGAATGGAATGGCTTTTTATTGTAAGCTTGGTTAGATAAATATTTTAAACACTTAAACTGCCACATTTTAACTGTGTGATATTTATCATGCTTCCTTGGTGCAGAAAATCTGGCAAAGCAATCAAAAAAATAAATTTGCAACGAAGAATCCTTTTGCATAGAATTAAATAACAAGTTAATAGAGGTTTGTTTTCATTAGTTACTGTACAAGTGAATAGCTGAATGGGTTGATTAAATATTCTTCCCCATATCACAGAAAATGTATCTGAAATCATGACACTCCTGATGTAGTTAGTAACTGCATAAACATGTTTTTTTTCCTCAGAAGGCTTTGCTTCTGAGAAATGCTGATCTTTCTCTAGAATATGGAGAACAGCAAATTCCAGAGTTTAGTAGAACTTTCCAGTACTAAGTCAGAAATTTTACACCTTCCTTGAACATACCCATTAAAAAAAAAAAACTTAAAGGGATCGTATACAGTTTAGCTCTTAACATTTAATCCATGTATGTAGTGAGCTCTCAATAGATTCAGTGGGATCTGGATGTGTGCATAAGATTACAGCTTTTTCACAAATACAGGTCCTAGAAGTATATGTAGAACAAGACCCAAATTGATGCTTTGGTTTGTAATTTATTTTCAAAAGGAAACAACTCAGTTGTATTATTTTTGCTCTGAATTCTCATAATATTGAGTAGAAAGCCATACATTGGTAGAGTTCCTTAATCCTTTTTTTTTTAATTTCTGCTTCCCAATGATCTCTACAGATACCCTTGGGAATGAGATTGTCAATGACACCAAAACGCCAGGAAAGGTGAGGAGTCAATAGCATTCTCTCTACTTAAAAGGTTGCACTTCATTTTCCCCATTGACAAGACTAATTCACGAGGTGATCTAGCTCAGAAGTTTCCAAACTTGGCAATTTTAAGACTCATGGACTTCAATTCCCAGAATTCCTTAGCCTGCTTACTGAGGAATTCTGGGAATTGAAGTCCACAACGCTCAAAAGTTTCCACGTTTGGTGACCCCTGATCTAGTTCATGACTAGTACTTATTTTTCCTCTTATTTACTTCACTTAGAATCAGGGGTGGGCTTCAAAATTTTCAGCAATGAGTTTTCTGCCCAGTTACTGGGTGGGCATGGCTAGTTGGCCTCCTGCACCACGGCGGGGGGGGGTGTTTTTGCCTTCCCCAGACTCTGGGAGTGGAGGGGTGGTTGGGGCCAGTCAGGGGTGGGATTTAGCAATAGCAGTTAGACTTATATACCACTTCATAGAGCTTTCAGCCCTCTCTAAGCGGTTTACAGAGTCAGCATATTGCTCCCAACAACAATCCGGATCCCTATTTTACCCACCTCGGAAGGATCGAAGGCTGAGTCAACCCTGAGCTGGTGAGCTTTGAACAGCCGAACTGCAGAACTGCAGTCAGCTGAAGTAACCTGCAGTGCCGCATTTAACCACTGCGCCACCTCGGCTCTTTGGTGGTTCTCCGAACCAGCCATA